GTTTCCATAATGTAATAGAATAACGTTTTTATCTGATATCTTCCCATACCGCATAAAAGCGGAGGTTTGCAATCTAGTTATAATTCAGAGTACACTACAAACTTAGCAGAATCTATTATTGATATTCATAGAAAATAAAGCCTTCCGGACATGATAATGTTCGGTTATTTCTTCCAACACAACAGCTGTAGGCTCCCCTCATCGGGGACTTTAATAATGCAAAATAACATTTGCCTGGTCGTAAAGTTCCAGCTCGGTGGAGTAAACACAAGAATATGCTCCCTCCTGGCGCTTCGGTTTGTTTGGGGTTTTTTTTCCCGCCACAGTGGTAAAAGTTCCACGGGGCAACCTTCAGAGCGTCACACAATCCATGTGTGATGCTTGCTAATGCGCCTTAACGAGATGCTAACTGTCTAAATTCTCTCCCGCAGTTTCCTGCCTGGGATAATGTTGGTGTAGGAGACGGTGGACATCCTCTGGAATCTGTAGCCTCCTTCATCTTTCCCGGTGATCCTCAAGAAGAAGCTCTCGGGAGGGGTGCGGAACTCCGGGACGTTCCAGAGGCCCCCGGAGCCCCCGTCCGAGGGCGTGGGAACGGGGAGCGCGCGCAGCGGGCGGCCGGACACGGACAGCAGGTCCACCTGGTTGACCCGTCCCGGGGGGCTCAGGCCGCTGGACTTCAGCAGGGCGTGAGCCGGCACTCCTGAGAGACAGCAGGGTAAGAGACGCGTCGCGGTCCTGAGGTCACAGCAGAAGCAAAGCCTGTGCTCGCACTCAGAGCCTCGGGCTGTAAAATAATAAGGCACGCCCATAACCTGGCTCTCCTCGCCCTCGAGTCTGCAGTAATGCTCTTTTACCACCTCATGCAAACTCCTACAAGCACTGCAAGCTCTTTGTGCGGCACACTGTGCTGGACCACCTTTTCTCTATGCTGTCCTCATGCTTCTAGCACGACTCTGCTGCACCCCACTGCACTTGTGGTTTGGTACACCACAGACAGAGGCCATGAGCAGGCTCTTCTCACGTTCAGAAAAGCACAGCTTGAGACCATCTTGTAAACCGTTTAGTAACAGCTCACAGGACCCCTCCTTCCCACTTCTCGACAGACACCGGTGAGTCAGTAATTGGGCTAATATTTGTTTCCGGGAAAATACAGTAAGCTCACCGCATCGCACAGGGGGCTGACCGGGAAGCTCAGATGCCTGCTAAAAAATGACACCCTTACTAGTGTCCAGTAAGCCTGGCAAAGCAGTAATCTGCATCACAGCTGAGTCTCAAAGAAATACAGCTGCTACCTTCAGAACTGATTCTGTGACACTGAATGCGTGCCCTACAGCACCCAGGGTGAATAAACTCTAGAGCTGGTGGGAGCTGGTGTTGTGGGGGGGTGCATCGTGTGGCCAGTACCTTCTACGGGCCTCTCCCGGGTCTGGCTGAAGTCGGTCACCGGCCTGCTGGAGAACCCTGCTCGGAAGTCCAAGTTACTGACCCCCGTGACCCTGAGACTGTGGCGGCCACTGCAGCTCACCTGGACGGGGGCAAAGGGGGAGAGGGTGTCAAAACAGAGACACGCAGACGCTCGATCAGGAGTGCTTTGCGCGCCAGCACTGGAAAATTTAGAGGCGACATGACTCTTATTTTCAAGAGTTTGGAACAATATGAGAAGCTTCTTCCGTTATCAATCAGCATGTTCAGAGCACAGGATGGCTCCCATGGTTCGAAGATATCCAGTCGGGGCTGTGGCTTGAACTGACTGACCCAGCTTCCCTGATGGGCACGGCGCACAGCTGTCCGACCGGCACCGCAGGGGGGACGCAAGCGATGAACCCCCACGCCGTCGAGCAACAGCGTCTCCTGCGGCGTGCCGGGAAAGGTCCCGCCCGCTTTTGTTTTGTAAGCCGGGGCTACAAAAGGCGCGCCATCAACAACCGGGCGCGCGTCTCGAGAAGGACAGCCCGGCCTCCGGCGCCAACCTACCCTCAGCGTCCAGGTGCCTGGCCTCGGGTGCTTGACGCCGACCACGCGGGCGGAGTTGGGGATGTTCAGCAGCTCGGTCAGGCCCAGCTCCTCCCCAACGATGCGGCCTGGAGACACAGGAGAGGGGCGTTCCAGTGGCCACTTGTAGCCATTGAAAACCCCTCCCATAGAAAGCCATGCATCGCAACATCTCTCTCTCTCTCCCCCGCCTGAAGCTGGCATTAAAACTTAGCCCCGTGTACAGCTTCAAGCAAACCCTGCGGCAGCACCACAGCGGGTGTTTTTCACAGCTCACACCTGTGGCTGAGGGACGCTGGCGAACATGCTTAGATATGCAGACACGGCTATAAGCGCAGGAAAGCGCTGAACTGATACCCACACCCACGTAAACACACAAGGGAAGTGGCCCCCTTGCTCATGTTACCGTAGGGATCCCGCAGCTCGATCTCGGGAGCCGGACCGCTCAGGGAGACGGTGACTTCCCTCAGACTGGGGTCAAAGGGCACCGGCCACCGGTTCTCCTCCCCGCCCTCGTGGTCCGTCGAGAGCAGGTGGACCTTCATCGACTGCACCGTCTCCTCCACCCACTTCAGCACCTGCGGCGGCAACGGGCAGGGGGGGAAAAACGGCAAGGTCATCCGCCTGAACCCGAGGACAGCCCCCGCCGCAGTCCTGGACAGCTGGAGAGCAATACCTGGAGCAAGAGGGGAGTTACGGCAGCAGAGCGACATCTAGTATTGAAACCAATGACTCCATTCTGGGCTTCAGAGCTTTAACCAGCTGACAACACAACCATGTTGTTATATGTTGGTTGCAGCGGCTATAGGCATCTGCTAAAATTAATAATAGCAATAGGTCCAGTTAAGTCATTGCTTTCCAGGATCAGGGTTGTAGATCTCTAGCGCAGGAAACAGCATGCTTCAGTAAAAAGCAATTACTGACGGCAGTTTGTACCCTATTATTACCTTATTATTGCAAGATCCCTACACATCAGCTGAGCCTTTCATACTGTAATGCCAAAGCACAATCCAACAGCTGGAGAAAACTTGCGCTGTGTCTATAGTTCCGTGTGGCCTTAAGATCGTATTCCCAGTAGTGCTTTCCATACACTAAATGCTTATTGCACCCCACAGAAGCCAATGCACAGAGCCAGTTTTAATACTTTAGAAGTTGTGTGCTGTCAGGAAAAGTTTGCCAGCTATCTCGGCAAAGGGAGGCATGCCCTAGATTATTCACAGGTTTAGTATGCAGACTCCATCACATAAATGGATGGGTTCACCTTTCTCTTAATGCCATCTGTCAAACTGGTTCACATAAAATTGCAGTCAAGAGTCGCTGAGATATCAGGCTTCAGGCGTCAGGTTTATCTTTGTTCAGATCTGCAGGGGGAAAAAAAAGCATTCCTGTCCACTCTCCGGGAACCAGGAATAACTGAGCCTTTGACCCGACTGACCCAGGGCACTTCAGACAGCTGTGATGGTGGGGGCGTGGGACAGCGGGGAGTTAATTGCGATATGCCCCACAGCTAGCTCTGGCTCATCTCATGTCGAAGTGCTGTAGAGCAGGGAGGCTGCCTCTCTCTCTCTCTCTGCTAGCTGCTCTTGAGCCGTACTGAACGACAAGTGAAAATACAAAGAATCGGGATGTTTCCTGCTTTGTGAGGTTCAATGGGCTGTGCACAAAATAACACATATGTTCGCATGATATCAGCCTGAAGAGACTACTTATAAGCAATACTCAGGTGAAAAATGAAAATATCTCTCGAGGTTTATATTGTATATTAACACTGACCTACTTGTAGAGCCCTTTTTGATTATAACCAGACTTAGCATATACAGAAAACTGAGCTGGAATGAAGAATCGCTTTTACAAGCTGCGGTCCAGACCTGAAGTATCTTGCCCAGTGGCTGCTGAAAACAGCTGGTTCCTTTCTCGGATAACAACTGGAAACAGCTGTAATGTCTGCCACAACAACTCCCAGGGGGGGGAGGGGTGAACAAGCAAACTGCTTTTCAATGAACTGCCTCTGCCTCTGGCCAGTGTCTGTTTCCGCCTCTGCGGGGCTGTGAAAACACAGCGCGGCCGGTTCATATTCGCCGCGGCTCTGACAGCACGGGGGCTTTTGTCTCATTCTGTGCCTGCTGGCACCTGCCCACCCGGAGAGCCAGCTGAAGCCATCTTGCTAGGGGCAGCACACGAAAGGGTGGCGTCTTTCGGAGCCAACTGGAACCCGCGCTCAAGAAGACTCGGGTGTCCACACCCGAGCCCCGAGGCTCGTCGGGACAGAACTGATCCTTGTTTCTGTTGTGCCAAGTCGTCTGACAACATGCTGCCCCCCTGGGAAGGACGCCCGTCCCTCACAGGGTTCCCCCCCGAGCAATGCTGGTATAACTGCTCCCAGCTGGTTGGACTGCACCTATTTGCGGCGACGCCCGTCTGTTCACCTTCCTCTCAGCGTTAACCCCTTCTGCCCCACACGCTCCCTACTCCCTCCCGCCAGAGCTTCGGATGACGACCTTCTCCTGCGACGCAGCCCCACGTACTTCGCCAATTCACGGCGACACAGGTCAGAAGAAAATGTTCAGGAAACGAACTGATCAGCGACAGTTTATGTGCACAAAACGGTTTGCCAGTTTGGATCCCGCGGCCGGCAGAGGAATCCTACTCCGTTGGGCCCCTAAGCAAGGCCCTAAACCCCAGCTGCTCCAGGGGCGCTGTGTAAATGGCTGACCCTGCGCTCTGACCCCCAGCTTCTCTCCCTGTCTGTGCGTCTCATGGAGAGCAAGCTGGGGTCTGCGAAAAGACAAATTCCTAATGCAAGAAATTGTATATGGCCAATGAAGTGATCTTATCTCATTGCAAAGCGAGGCTTCAAGTGGAGCTAGAGATACAGGGCTACAAAACGACAGCTGGGCGAGACTCCCT